ATGTCAAGATGACATATAGAGAGAGAACTGGTAGGGACCTCAGAGGACATCTGGTCCACCCTCCTAATTTTACAAATTAAGGCCCAGTGGTTAAGTGACTTGCCCAAGGTAAAAAAGGTAGTAAGCAGCAAAGCACTCAGACTTAAATCCCCTAACCCAAAGTTCAATGATTATGCTACTTTACAATAGGACTTGCCCGGGGTCACAAGGCTAACATATATCAAAGGCCAGTCATGGACAAAGATTGTACTACCTCACAGGTCAGCCTGCTATCCATACTGCCATGTTAACTCTCTCAAAGATTCTATATGTGTTAAAATCAGGAGTATTCTGAATTACACCACCATAATTATGCATGCATTAAATTCCAACCATTGGCTAATGTGCAGCAAATATTAATGGACATAAGAAATTACAGGATCCAGTAGATTATATAGAAAATAGAGAGTATTTCCTCACCAGAGTTCCTATGCCAGTAGAATCAAAAGTCCATTCCTTATTTTTAACACTATCCTATAAAAAATAATAGACTATATGTCTATATGAACACCACTTCTCAATCTAATGATTTAATTAACACATTAGATTTGAGTACTGAGTATTAATTTATCCAGGTTATGGGCCATTGGAAAATCAAAATAGTATGGAGATAATTTATATTTCCATTTATTCTTTTGTACCAAAGTCTCACTGATGCTTTAAAAACAATACAAAACATCTTCTTATGTTCTAAGGACAACCAGGAAAAAAAACAGCCATATGTTATATAAGCAAAATTTTATTATTTGGAGGGGCAACTTATCTTTATAAAATGATATGTATAAGCAGCTACATCTCAAAATATTCATTGAAAAAAGCAAGTATTAGCCAATGAGTAGAACACTCAGCTAGAAATAAAGAACATTGCCTCCATCATGGGCTTACCATGTGGCTTAGATATGGAGAAGATTGTACTATTTCACTGTTTAGAATACATTTGTATTTTCACTTATGGTTTGGTCAGGAGAAAAAAGGGTTTGAAAAAAGTTAACACTTTGTATAAGATTTAGTGAGGAAGCTAGATGGCACAGCTGATAGATTGTGGGCCTGGAGTCTGGAAGACAATCTTGCTAAGTTCAAATCTGGCCTCAGACGCTTACCAACTGTGTGACCCTGGGCAAGTCATATAACCCTGTTTGCCTCAGTTTCCTCACCTGTAAAATATCTCTGCCAAGAAAACTCCAAATGGGATCACAAAAAGTTGGACATGACTAAAATGACTGAAAAACAACAAATCAGATTTAGAAGACAAGTTAATGGAACACAAAGGAAGTTGGCTGGAACCATTCTAAAATGAAGGGTAGCAGATACCATTTTATGTTTAGTGAAAATAACTTTTTCAGCACCTAATTTCCAGGTATAGGAGAGGAGAAGGCAGACACTAAAAAGGCCATTTGAGAGGTTATGGATTGCCCGTTGGATAGCACATATATTTGATGGCTGCCCTAACTCCCATAATGACAAAAATCCTGGGCTGAAGAAGACAGGAAATCTAACACAAGGGAAGAAGCTGTAAGCTGGCTACCAAATAGCAACAAAATATTCCCTTTTCTCCAGTTTTGCCCTGTAACAAACAATAAAATACTAAAAATATTTCAAGAAAATCTTGGCAAAAAAGCTAAAGTCCAAAAAAATCATTGATTTTGTAATTTATTTATACTTTTTTATTATATTGTATATAATTATTATATAATTTATAATTATATAAATCTATAATTCATAATAATTTTATAAATCCAAGTTTGATTTATATAGGGATGCAAAGATAATTCAACATTAGAAAAAACCAAGTAAAACCAACATATTTAACTATTTTTGCTGTTATTCAAGCATTTTCAGTTGTGTCTGACTCTTTGTGACCCCTTGGTGATTTGGGGTTTTCTCGGCAAAGATACTAGAGTGGTTTGCCACTTCCTTCTCCAGCTCATTTTACAGATGAGGAACTGAGGTAAACAAAGCCAAGTGACTTTTCCAGGGTCAAACAGCTAGTAAGTGTCTAAGGCCAGATATGAACTTGTGAACATGAGTCTTCCTAACTCAAGGCCCAGCACTTTAAACACTGTATCATCTACCCAACCCTGGAGTTAGGAAGATCTTATTCAAATCCGGCCTCAAGACTCTTACTACCTGTGTGACCCTGGGCAAGTCTCTTATCTGCCTCAGTTTATTCATCTGTAAAGTGGGGTTATAAAAACACCTTCTTCCTAGTGATGCTGCGAGGACCAATTGAGAAAATATTTGTAAAGTCCTGGCACATAGTAAGCACTATAAAAATGCTCCCTATTAAAATATCTAACTTGTAAAACACCATAGTAACATAGTCACAAATAAGGCATCCTCTCAAGAGAATTTTTTCTGATTTTCTGAATCTTTTGATCTGAGCTTTCCTATAATGTTGCTCTGATTTTTATACAGAGCTATACAACTGGGTCCACGTTTGCTCTCACATTCTCAGGGGTGTCTTGAGTTGGTGGCAAATGGTTTATTTTCACTATCTGCCTACCCACGCTAAGTATCTGATAACCAATAGACTGCTGGACCTGAAGTGAGAAAGTAAAAGTTCCTACCTTTTTTCTGAATGTGTCACTGATGAAGTTTTTGTGCATCGTTAAACCCCTTTTTCTCCCTTAAGTCCTGTGGTTTTTAATTGCGAGATTTTACATAGCCACATTATAACAAAACTGCCTTTGGTAGATGTCACGGGTTTTTAGATTGGGCTGTTTCTCATTACCCGATCTGCCTGAATATTAGTGGCCATATCTGAATACACTCCCAGAAACGCCACAGATAGAACAGGAATAATAGGCAATGATGGCCTAACAGAAGGAGAGACAGCCAGAGTCATCCCTACAGGGGCTGATCGCACTATGTGACTCTCTGTCCGCCAAAACCATTTTATTTTGTATTACAATGTGAAGAGGCAAGAACTCCCTTCTCGTGATGCCTCTAAGGGCTTTGTAATGGAAGCAGATAGAAGAGACTCAAGAGGATGTCTGTCACACAAGAAGTCCATGTTGCTTTGGAGATAGTGGAAAGGGCTTACCAGGTAAGAAACTTTATATATTTTTGTGTGTTTGTGTCAGCTGCTAGGAGCTGGGAAGTCACTTTATCCTCCTTTTCTTCTTCCTGTTCTTCCTCCTCCTCCCAAGTTAACCAGAATTATAATATAGCTCTATAGTAATTTTGACTATTATAAATACATGAATTAAAAATAAAGGTCATATGAAGAGAGACGCCATCTGCAGCCAAAGAAAGAACTAATAAATAGAAGTATGTATAGAATAATTTTACATCTATACACACACATACACACACACACACACACATATATACCTATTTGTGTCTAATGGTAGCCATCTCTAGGGTAGGGGGAAGAGGGGAGGAAAATAAAGGAAAAAAGAGATATGATAACTTTGTTGTATATTTGGAAGGAACAGCGAGTTGTACATAACAGATTTGCAGTTTCATGTGCAATCATCTTTTTTATTGTACTCTGTTATGAAAACGCTTGTTTTGTTCTGTGAATTGAAAATAAAATAAATTATTAAAAAAATAATGTAGCTGTAGCTTGCCTGCGCCTTCCCCACTTATGTTGTGGGACCTGGGGCAAAAGCTCTGATTTCACCAAACCCTAGAGATGCTCTGGTTAAAATGATCCACCATCAAAAACAAATACTTGAAAATTAATCAACAGCCCTTTTGAGCATCACAATCTAGCACATACTTGTTTACAAACCCAGGCATGTGGGAGAAGGAAGCTCCCTGATAGAGCTGTCTACCCAGAAGACATCAGGTGACCTACGGCATTGTCGGAGCTTTTGCTTGGATTAGATTTACAGCAAGTAAGAGAATCATAGTGTTAGAGAAAGACATGACAGCCCATCTCCTCTTATGTCCTCATTTTTCAGCTGTGAAAACTAAAGCCCATAGAGGTTATGTGACCTGTTCAAGGTCACTACTGCTCAAAGTCTGGTTATAGTTTGTTGTTTTTAAAAAACAACTCATAGAAATTAACTTTTTTCCATCAAATACTAATGTTTCTGGGGTAAAAGTTCAGTGCAAGAAATTGGTAGCATTTTTTACAAAGCATTTTTCCTTTTAAATTATGCTTTTATCATAAGTCTTGTCATCAACTATAAGAGCTGAAAGGGACTTTAAAAATCACGTATTCCAAACTTTGAACTATACAGATGAAGAATACAAAGAGATGAATTTACCTGTCCAAGTTCCCAAAACTAATCCAAGCAAGTTCTAGAACCTAGGTACTTTTTTCACTTTGCCAAGAAAAATATCATCCTCATCTATGATCTGATGCCAATCCCCATAACAGCTCTAGGACCTGAAAGGGAACTCAAGAGGCCATCTGGTCCAGTCCCCAGCCTCAAGTCAAAGCTGTATGAAGGAATTTTTCTCTTTCTTTCTTTTCTTTTTTTGAGGCAATTGGGGTTAAGTGACTTGACCAGGATCACTCAGCTAGCAAGTGTCTGAAGCTGGATTTGAATTCAGGTCCTCCTGACTCTGGAGCTGGTGCTCTATGAACTGTGCCACTAAGCTGCCCCTTCTTTTTTTTAAATCTTTATTTTTTTTTTGGAGGGTGAGGCAATTGTGGTTAAGTGACTCTCTGTCCCTGCCAAAACCATTTTATTTTGTATTACAATGTGAAGAGGCAAGAACTCCCTTCTCGTGATGCCTCTAAGGGCTTTGTAATGGAAGCGGACAGAAGAGACTCAAGAGGATGTCTGTCACACAAGAAGTCCATGTTGCCTTGGAGATAGCGGAAAGGGCTTACCAGGTAAGAAACTTCACACGGCTAGTGTCAAGTGTCTGAGACTAGATTTGAACTCAGGTCCTCCAGACTCCAGGGCCGGTGCTCTATCCACTGCGCCACCTAGCTGCTCCAGAATTTTTCTTAATGAACACCTAAATAACAAGGTCAAAAGTGAACAGAAAAAGAACAATACCTGAGGAGCAAGGCAGTAGAAGATCCATTATTACCGAATCCGCTCCTTTGGTGTAAACGTTGATTTCGTCCGTAAGGGGGTGCCTGATCACCACAGACATCCTCTTCCTGATGGAGTCAAAGCCCAGCGTGTGTAAAAGCTCAAAGGTTAGCCTCCCCAGGTGAGGGAGTTCTACAGAAACCTGGTCGGGCAGCCTGCCAACCAGGGAGCAGTTGTAGGCTCTGGCTGCATAGACGAGGGCGGCTTCATCGGGACTCTCAGCCTCGTAACGAAGCTCCCCCTCTTTGAGTCCATTCTCGGTTGCCCAGCCACCTCCGGGCTGCACACCATACCCATTGTTATTCATCTTTGGGGAGGAGTGGGTCAGGCCAGCTTCGAGTTTGAGCAGGGTACTCTCAGTGGACAGTGTGGACAGAAAGCTGGAACCAGTTTTGTGGGTTGATTTACTGGTGGAGAGGCTTGAGGAGCTTCCACTGTTCGATCCAGAAGTCAGGCGGCTGGGAGTGAATCTTCGGATGAAATCTTCTATGGTCTTCACTGGAGACTTCAACTCAAACCTAACTCTTACCTGCCAAGGCAGAGAAAAGCAAAGTGATGAGGAAACTTAACTTGTTCAATTAATGACACCAAATCCTAGATGCTAGAATAAGAGTGAAAAGTCATCTTCAGGAGGAGCAAAGATGGATTCTCAGAAAAAAAAAACACTGAAGTGAAAATCCAACAAAAACTTCCTAAATACTTAGGAATAGTAGGGAAACCATGTGGTGGATTGAATAGAGTGCCAGGCCTAGAGTCAGGAAGGCTCATCTTCCTGAGTTCAAATCTGGCCTCAGACATTTACTAGCTGTGTGACCCTGGGCAAGTCACTTAACACTGTTTACCTCAGTTTCCTCATTTGTAAAATGATCTGGAGAAGCAAATAGCAAACCACTCTATTATCTCTTCCAAGAAAACCCTAAATTGGGTCATGAAGATTCAGACATAATTGAAAAACAACTGAGCAACTTAGGAACAGTCCTAAAAATTTATTTTCTGTAAGTTAAACATTGACCAAGACATATTGATGACTCAAAATCTGTTTTTTCCAAATATTGACTATGGGAGGTTTCAAAAAGTGAACCAATCCTGATTTGTCCAAATGAACTTTAAGAATGTGGACTCTAGTAGAGGGGCAAGTCAGAGAACAGAGGTTCTGATCTTGGGGATACAGTTTCTTGTTCTAAATGATCTCTTGTTGGCATTCTCCATTTGATTTGTGCAAATGAACCAGAAGAGGAAAACGGTCCATTCTGCCATATGGACATCTCTGCTCTCAGAAATACTAGCTTGGAGAAAGCATCTCTGACTAAAAGCACAAATCACCCAGTGGTTTCTGAATGTCCCTCCCTTCCCAAAACCCCCAAGGTTGCAAAGATGATTATCAATTTGCCAAGTGTATTTTACAAATTGGAGGGTGGGGGAGGGACATTCAGAAACAACTGGGTGACTGGTGTTACAAAATGTCTCCCACTTTGTGATCCTCTCCAGCTCCAGTAAGTTTGAAGGTAATTTGTTTCGATTTTCTTTAGAGTGGTCTTGATGTATTTTTTCACTTTCAACTAAAGCCTCTCCTTTAATGTTTCCTTTACTTAATGTATATTATTTTCACAAATCAATAGGGTATTACATATTTTCCCCCTTTTGAACAATTTGGTTATGTGATACATAGAATCATAGTATTTTAGATCCAGAAAGCACTCGTTTTTTATTTTTGTCTTGGTACTCCTCCCCATCCCCTGTCCCTATTCCCCCACTCCACTGCCTGTACTTAAATGTTTGTTGAATTGTATTGTTTATAATCTAACCCACCTGCAAAATTTGTTAAATATCTTCTATGTGGTAGGTGCTGGGAATAACAAGGTGAAAGTGAGAGTCTTTACTCTCAAAAGACCTATATTCTACTAGAGAAGACATCATGTAAATTTATCTATATAAATCAGATATAGGATGATTTTTCTAGAGTGTGTCTGTGATGGAGGACACTAGCATCTGGGGGAATTAGGAAAGGCTTCTTGTCTAGATAGTACATCTTGAAAGACACTAGGGAGTCTAATGAAGCCCAGGAAGCTGAAGTGATTTTTCCAAGGTGGTGCAAAGAGTTAATTAGCAAAGAGGTAAGAGGAGAATGTAGATCTCCAGACTTACAGCCTAGCTCTCTTTCCATTACGTCAGACTACATCTTTAATATTAATACAACCCCAAAGTCAAATGGGAAAATTCTTGGTCCTTCTCCATCTATAAGAGGGTCAGTTGCAAATACGGTCTTAGAAACTTAAAGGTAAAATTTAGTACCAGAAATAGAAAAAAGAAAACAAAAGGAAAAAACAGGCTTTGATATATTTCTACCTCCTCATATTAGAGCCCAGGACTTATTTCCCAACCATGTTCTCCTGAATGACAGAACTGAGATCTTTATGACTTAATGCTTAGGTCTCTCGGCTACTGGTAGGAAGCTGCTATGATAACTAGGAGAGCCCTGGGGTAAGCCTTGACTTCTTCGGTTTCCAGTCTGTTAACTGCTAGCCTGTATCTACCCACAAAAGGCCTATAAGATCATGGGAAAAGGCAGAAAGATTTTTTATTTCTTGTATGGACAGTTATAAAACTGGGGTATAGTTTGTATGAACTTTTTGTTGGTGGTAGGCTAGATCTTTTCTGAAATTTGCTGCCTACCCATTCCCTCATGTTGGGTCCATATATAGTTACCCCTTCCACACAGTAGGGCTCAAGGGCATGGTGCCCCCAAGATCTGGAAAATCTATATAAAATTTCTTGGCCCTCCCATCGTACCAGAGAAGAAGTATGAAATTTTTCTTTTTCTTTTATGGAGTGTGTATAGTACCTTATTGTAAAATTTGGGTTAAGTATTTGGTCATAGGCTATATGTAGGTCAATGTTAAGTAAAAATATTTTTTTCTGGGTCATCTGTGGCTTCTGCAAAACTCCCCCAAAATTCCCATTTAATTTCTTATGCCGACCCCTGATATATCGAAACTGTGATGGGGAAAGTTGCAATGTGGAAGGGATAACTGTACTTGGATGCTGACTACGATGTGTTTACTTAAGAATCCATGCTTATTTGCTTTCTCCTGGGATACTGACCAAGGCTGCTTACTTAAAGCATACTTCTTGCCCATTCCTTCTGATTTGCCTAAGGTAACAGTACTCAGCTATGACCATCTGCCTGTACAGCACTTTGTATTCAACAATCATTTATTTTACTGAGGGACAGGTGGATTGCCAGATGATTCTGAGTCTTATATCTCTCCTGCCTTGTCTTTCACTTACCTATGGAATTTAGCCCTGACAACCAATGCTTGAAATTGGAGTGTGTGAATACTGGGAGAAAAACCCAGATATCAAAGTTTTATTTCTGATTTAAAGAATAATAATTAACATACATATACACATATCTTTGTCTGACAGCAATGGATAGAGGACTAGATCTAGAGTCTACAAGACCTGGGTTCAAATCTGACCTTAGACAATTTAACTAGCTGTGCAACCATGGACAAGTCATTTCATCTTTGTCCAACTCAATTTTCTCATCTTAAAAATGTGGGTGCTGGAGGCACCTAGGTAGAGCAGTGGTTAGAGCTCCAACCTTGGAGTCAGGAGGACCTGAGTTCAAATCCAGCCTCAGACACATAACACTCACTAGCTGTGTGACCCTAGGCAAGTTACTTAACCCCACTGACTTATCAAAAAAAAAAAAGTGTAGGTGCTAATGACAGAACATACTTCCTAGGGGTGTGGATAAAGCACTGGGCCTGGAATGAGGAAGACCTGAGTTCAAATCTGGCCTCCAACATTTATTAGCTGAGTGACCCTAACCAAATCACATAACCTGTAAAATGGGAATAATAATAGCACCCACCTCCCAGGGTTGTTGTGAGGATCATGTGAGATAATAATTACAAAGCATCTAACACAGTGCCTGGCACATAGTAAGCACTATGTAAATGTTAGCTATTATATTTGTAAAGTGCTTTACAAACCTTAAATTACTATATAAATGTTAATTATTATTAATGCATAATTAGTACTAAGAATTACACTACAAAAAAGATTGTCACCTTTAACGCACATCATACCGCCTAAGATTTTGGAAGACTGTCACCAAAATGGAGGAGCCCTGACATCATGGTGACCAAGACGGGACTCACCTTGTGTCTTGGCTGATTGGGGGCTGTCACTACCACTGTATTGCAGATGGTCAGGGCTATGAAGAAGTCAAAAATATCAGCGAGTTCCGGGGTGAGATGGGACAATGACTTTTCCTGGTTTCTCATGATCTCCAGACACCTAGCACATTCATTTACCTTTTCAAATAGTTTTGGATCAGGGGTAATGTCCTTTTCCTAGAAATAAATGAATGATGCATGACAATTAGTGGTATTTCAGTGGCATTGTTATTATTGACATTGTTTTGCTTAAAACCTCTGAAGAATACACATTACCCAAAGGGCAATAAAGACACATGATGAGTTTAAGGAGGCTGCTACAGGTTACCAATGACTTACCCAGTAAGCTTTCTTGAGGGGAGGGTTGTCTTTTATTGCTTTCTGTATCCTCAGTGCTTAGCACAGTGCCTGGAGCACATAGCAGGTGCTTAATAAACAAACAGTTATCCCTTCTACATTGCAACTTTCCCCATCTCAGTTTCACTATATCTCGGGTAGGCATAACAAATTAAATGAGAACTTTTGGGGAGTTTTGGGGAAGCTATAGATGACATGTAAAGGCTAGCAGACAACACAGAAAAAGTTTAGAAACTTAAAAATGCATAAAATGTATGTATAGTATTATATCATATCAATATATTTTATCTTTTAATAACATAATAATTCCAACTTCTTCTCTGGTAGGAAGGGAGAGCCAAAAAATTTTACACAAATTTTCTGGTTCACAGGGATGCCGCACCCCTAACCCCCACAATGTGGAAGGGATAACTATTGCATTGTATCCTCAGGAAGTTGTATAAAAGACGTCATAGAGGGCAGGTAACATTGAAAGGAGACTGGCCAATCATGGAGAAAGACTGAGAAAGAGAAGAGATACACTAGTACCTTGAAGACACAAAAAGGACACAAAGAGGAAGGGCTTGAGAAAAAAGGAGGATTTAGGAGAAAATTCAGACAAGAAGGATAAGGTATAGAGGAGGCTGCAATCCATATCAGTAGAGAAAGTGTTTACATCAATAACATCATGTATCCATCAAAGCATTAGAAGTATATACATTTGTTTCACACAAAGCTCAAGGCCCTAAAGGAAAAAAAAAAGAAGGAATTGGAAGATTTTGGAATAAATACAATGCCACTACTTTGCAGTCTGCATACTGCATTAACTTCCAAAAGCCACAATGAGGTAATTTACAGTCTGTCCTTTCTGAATGCATCTTTGCCTAGAGTTAGTGTGTCATCAGCATGGAAACGACCACCCCTATGGAAAACGGCAACTTCTCAAAGGTTATAGGAAGAGGAGCAAATTGGAGAACCTCTGGGTAAGTGTAGACTGTCCCAGAATATTCTTTCTGGCAGTTTTTTGGACTGGAACATTTCAGGAATGGAAAAGTAGTTTTGACAGGTTGGCTCTTCTTCTGGAGACATCCCCATCCATGGTGGTCCATGGTATTTAGGCAGCTGGCAGAGTCACGTTTATTTGGTTTGATGTTTACCATTTTTCCTCCCCTCTTGTCATTAGGATTTTTGCTTATTTGTACCTGTCAGACCCGATTTGACTTATTTATTTTGTTTGGCATCAGGAGTTTCCTGACAGTGTCAATTTGTCTTAGTAGTTTTTATAAGAGCTCGTTTTTAAAGTGCTAGAATCAGTGTTTAGACATTACAGCAAAATAGTTATGCAATCATTCAGCGTTCTGAAAAAAGTGGGCAATGGACAGAGGTAGTTAGAGGAACCAAAAATAAGAATGAGGTGATTCCTGGGTGTAAAGTGGAGGAAAACATTTTCCCTTTACAACTAGTAAGAGAGGAAAAAAGACACCATGAGAAAGCCCATTGTCCCTCTGCTTCAACTCCTGCATCCTTGCTTCTTAATTTCGAAGTAAGTGCTGCTTGAGCCAGAGCTCAAATTAGTTAAAATCCCCTGTCCCCACTTTGTCATGACTAACCATTGGGCTGCTGAAAGCCGTATGTTTGGATAGAATGCTGGCTCTCTTTGCTTCGGCTCGGCTGCCCGTCCGTCTGTGGGATTTGGTGCTCTGGGTTCTGTGAACAACCTTGACACTTTGGTGACTACCGATGCTGCCCCGCCGGGATAGCGTCCCTCCCTTGGGAGCGGCTTCATCCTCTTCGGAGTCAGCCTCCTGGTACATAGCTATGCGCCGAGCTGTTGGGAAAGGGGCAGAGAGCAAAATATTAGACACGTGTGGGAGGATACACAATGGGGAGCTTGGCTTGGTCAAGGAGTCTAGACCATTGTGGCACGATATCTCTTCCATTGTGTTCTTTGCAAAATCACACTGAATGACAAATTTAGGCAAAAATTAGAAGTACCACTCAGCCTAACAATGCTTCTTCATTTAACTTATTCTGAGTAACATCATAAATCAGTTGCTATTCATTCCCTGCAGTCAAATTTGGTTATTGTCTGTCAGTGGGTGGCATTCTTCATTCCTTTGTTGCATTCCAGAACTGCTCTACTATTGCCCAGTTCTTCACCCTGAAGCCTCACTCCAAACTGGGAATTCACACATTGGAAGTACCCACATCCCTAAGGCCTCTCCCTCTGAATAGATGGCTCCTCCCAGAATCTCCATTTAAGAGGGACTCCCAAGTCCATCACATCTCATTCCTCTCCAAGGTGTACGCCAGATTTTCTCTACCATGGAGAAACCTTAGTCTCTCCCTTCTTCCCCATTCTCCTCCTTTTTAACTTCCTTTTATGTGTTATATTCCCCTACTATAGCAAAGGCAGGAATTGTCTTTTTTTCTACTTGTATTTGTGTTCCTGGCACTTTAACAGCATCTTGCACACGGTAAGCACTTAATAAATGCTCTTTTTGTTGACTGGGTCCATATTTTCACACAAACTACTGCAACAGCTTCTGGATTCATCTACTTGAGTCTCTCCTTTCCAGCTTTGCAAGCCCTATCAGAGCTGATGTTCTATTGACATAGTATTCAGAAACCCCAGGTCACTTCCACGCCATACAATCAAATGCACTAATGGAAATATAATTGCACAATTCATGTGAAGTTACCCTCTGTTCTCTACTTATCATTGATGAATTTCCTAGAAAAGAACATGTCCAGCAAATTTAATTAATTTCAGAGAGATGTACAGAATTTGTGGAGGTTCTCAGTAGTTGCAAATTACTGACATTTGGAAAATACAGATTGTGATTCTGAGGGGAGTGGGGTCCAAATCTGCGATTTTAACAGTGTAGGAAACTCCCAATGAAGGGACTCCATCTACCAATGAAGACTGGAAAATATTCTACAATTTATAATAATTTTTTTGTTGCTGAGTTATTTTCCGTCGTATCTGACTCTCCATGACCCCCTGGGTATGCCAAGCCCTTCTATTCTCCATTATCTCCCAAAGTCTGTCCAAGCTCATGATGCACCCCCTTACTTCTGCTCATTACCTCTTGTTTGAATTATGGCAATGACCTCTTTAACTGGTCCACCTGCATCTTTCTCATCTCCCCCCTCTAAAGTCTTATCTCCAAATACCTGCCAAAATAACGTAAGTCTGACCATATTACTCCTCTGCTTGAGTTGGTTCTCTGACTCCCCAGTATCTTTAGTACAAAATATTGATTCCTCTGCTTGGCAGTTAAAGACCTTCCCAATTTAGCTCCAGGCTGTCTTTTCATCCTGATAATATATTACTCTCTTCTCATAAATGCTCTATTCCAGACAAACCATTCTATTTGCTGTTTCTGTACAAGACATCCCCTCTCCCACCTCTATGCCTTTGTGAACCCATTCTCCCTTTCCCCTATACTTTGAATGCCTTCTGTCCTCATCTCTACCTCTATCCCCAGTACCCAGAACATAGTAGGTGTTTCATAAATATTTTTTGAATGAATGACTATTAATAGCCTTGTTGAAAGAGAACCTGCAACAGGTACTACTGCCTTGTCACAAAGGCCAATCATAAGGTCTTTCTTTTATCCTCCCCGCATAGCCAGTGCAGTCTTTCATGAAAGGGAGAGTGGGTATACGTCCCATGCCAAGTATGATTTCCTAGTCACTTCTTCTCAATCCCTTACTAATCAGTCATTCGAAATAAAGCTCCACCATGAGACACAGTGTCTTTAGATGCGGCCTCTTGATTCACTTTGAAGTCACTTGTACTTTTCATTTCTTGCCCTCTTTAGCTATAAGACTTTCATTTCACTTGTAAGGATTGGCCAGCTTGCTTGGGAGAATCTGATTTTTTTTTTCAAATCACAAAAGATACATCATTTGACCATGCAAAACTTGACATCTGAAATAGATTCTTTCCGTTAAATCTTTCCCAAGAGCAACTCTCCATTGTGATCAATATACTTTATCCCTGTCTGTGTTCATTTTGTTTTTAACAAGATGATTTCTTTGATGTTCTTTGATGCTGTTACAAGAAGGAAAACTTGTCCCGTGGTAGATGAAGATGGTTAATTATTTAGAAGTGCTGACTGTTTCTCCCAATATCTGGCTGACCTACCATAGTACATAGCACTGAAATTCCTATCACAACATTCTCACCTTGCAAGGTGGAGACTTTCAGTTCTACACATGGCTCAAAAAGCTGATGGTTTCACTGATGTGATCAGACATGAATAAAACTCCAAAAGAAAGGGAGGAAAGGGTTGGGAGGCAGAGTCTGCTTAACTTAAAAGTGAAAACAAAATTCTATGATTTGTTAAGTTTTAAACAAAGTCTCCACAATCATGAAAAGAATCATACACAGCTGTATTTTAGACTTTCTGGGTTGGGGAGTTGTTAAAAATTCAGCTCTCTTACACACATCATCCTTAGTTATAAGTCAGAAATTACTTAAGATTGTGGTTTATATCCAATTTTAGGCTTTACAACTGGTTCCCTGTTCAGCATCGCCTTGAACATTAGGACAAAAGTAAAACACAATCATTGAACAACATGGCAAACCATAGCTCACCATTAGCATCATGTGAGTATTCTATGCCAGAAACAGTGCATCTTCGGAAAACCATCTTGTTTTCAGTGAGAGTGCCAGTTTTATCAGAGAAAATATACTGTATCTGTCCTAAATCTTCTGTGATATTCAGGGCTCGACACTGTAGTTTGGAGTCTGTTTCTTCATCATATAGTTCTTTATCTTGGTGAATAAAAAAGACCTGACATATTTTGACAATTTCAATGGAAACATATAAAGAAATCGGGATTAGAACCTAAAAGAGAGAAACAAAATACATGAATGAGTTGGAAAGAGTAGATATATAGGATGTTGAATTGATCTAATCTATTCAACTTTACAAAACACTAAAAAACCATAAATAAGTATGGACCATACTGTACCTTCAAGAGTTTAAATAAGTTGGCTTAGAGTCAATATTGAAAAGTTATTAGAATATTGACAAAGAGTTTACTGTAATAAACTAGGAAAGCCTATGATGCAACTGCGGAGCGGAAATCCATTATTATATCTGGAAGTGTGATAATCATGGCTTGGATAGAAGCAAGCACTTTCGAGTAATAAGTTGGACTTGAGAAAAGCTAGGAAAGGAAAGAGAGAGAGAGGGGAAAAAACACATGGTACAGTCAGAGTTCTGCATAAGCAAAAGAAATCTTGCATTTAAATGTCATGCTAACCCCCAAGTTTTACATACATTCACAGCAGATGATAAATTTCTCCAGTCACAGAAAAATGCAACTAATGGAGCCATATCTTGCAGAAAAAGCAATCTTTTTAGTTGTTGATTTTATGTACTAGTTAAATGACGGGCTAGTTTTCTGACTGCTACGATGTACAGAAGTAAAGTACTTTTTCAGGAAAATACTTTCAGCAACAGCTTGATAATTTAAAAAACAAGCACCAAGAAATTCTTCTTTCATATTTATTGATATTGTGGTGTTTTGAAATCTAGGTGGACTAGATTTACTTGGTAACTCAAATTGGTAGACAGGACAACCACAGTACCACTAGCCAAGAGCTATGATACAACTTGAATATATTTTTTTTTTTAAAAAAAGACTAATTTGAGATGTTAAATATGATTCTTTGCTGGTATTTAAAACACATAATTAAGAGGCAATAACTTTGTTCCCCTTTTGTGAGAGGTACAATGAAGTATTTTTCGTTCAGGGTCCCACAAGCCATTTGCAATGCAGCAAGGCCTCATTTTTCTTATCAGGCTCAGGAAGAACCTCCCTGCTTTTCTGATATATTGTACTTTCTCGTTAGGGGATTTGTATAATTATGAATACAGGCAAGAAGGTACAGGGAACAGAAAAAAATCAAAGCATGAAGATTTTCAAAGAAGCAATAAGAAAACTTTAACCTCAAGATTATCCATGTAGACTACAGAAGGAAATTTCTGTAAGTTGACAACTTTTGAAACAAATGTGCTTTTTGATTCTTCTGACTTCATACAATTATAGGTGGTCTTTGGGAAAATCATATCAATGAATGAGTTCCATTTTTAAAAGAAAATAGAATAATTATTATGTTGTACTTGAGACTGTTACCTGAAGAACTATTATCATTGTCAAAAATAAATAAACTGCAGCTAGAACTGGAGACAAATAGCTGCCATCCGATTGTGGGACATCAAATAATGGTTTCTTCCTGTCTCCATACTGTCGTACCCATAGTCCATGACCTGCAACATGGTGTGAAGAGGAATGTCACTGAACCAACTGAAGTAACATTTTTGGTGGAAACGAAAACGTAGTGTTAAGAAAACATTAAGCCTACCTACATTTAAATCAGGTCAGTATAATTTGGTTTTGTTATATTACATATTGGCATTCTGTGCCTGTTTTGTTAGAAGAGGAAGGATAAAAATATATGATTCTCATGGGGAGTTAAGATTAAATTGCTGGAAGCACCAATACCCACCCTCCCCCTATCCACCCATTGTTGGTACTTAAATTGCTGAATTGCTAAAGAAAACATGAATTCTCTATGAGACCTGCCAACTTACAATGTTAAGTTCCTAGAAGGAAGGGATTATGTGTCACACTGATGCACTTCAGCACGTTGTGTTTTTTGGTTAAATGATAACCACTGAATAACAGTAGCCAGAGTCTGTTTTGAGATACTTACTCTGCTTCCCCAGCCACTGGTACTCTCACTTGCTAAGTCTCTCCCAAGGTGGTAACGCTGTCCAGAAGCATAGCTAGTGGCTCTAAAGATGTATACAGCAACAGCTATAGCACTGTATACCTGCTAGCCTTCACTGCAAAGTGAAGGGAGGTTTCCTTCTATAATGTAGTTCTCTATACCACTAAAGATATTTCTATGATTTCCAGTACAGGTGCTACTTAGAATGAATCATCTCTAGCTCCTAATCAAGAGATTTTCATCCAAAGCCAGGACGGATAATGGGAGTAAGGGTGACTCAGACAAACTTAAATATAACTATTTGACTGCCAGACAATAAGTATATTTTTTAGTTATGAGAAGAAATTTTGGAAAAGAACCATCAAGTAATAGATAGAGTCAGCCTTGAAGCTAGGAAAACTTGGGTTTGAGGCCTACCTCTGACATACTTTGGCTGTGTAATCCCAGGCAAGTTGTTTAACCTCTCAATACTCCAGGCAGATATCTAAGATTATAAATAGCAAGCAGGTGCTGCCTTGCATTGGTAGAGGAAAGGTTTTTTAATCAGGGAGTTTAAAAAATCACCAGTCTGGTCCCTGTTACCATCCTTGAGAAGATAAAAACAACAACAAAAAAAAACCCTACCAGGGCTGAAATATAAACTCACACGAGTTCTTAATCATGCCATAATCTGTCCTGAATACACATTAAAAAAAACAGACATGGATTTCCAGATTGACAGAATTCCCATTATCAACACTCCAATCCACAACCTAAATAATTCTACCATTAAGGGCAAAATTGTTTGATCGTTAAACATGGAAGGGAAAAGTTAAAAGAATACCACTTAGAAATTAGATTTAGATGAATAACAGAACTTTCTAATTTTTTAAAAATGGGTCATATTGGTCTCTTTGGTCAATTTAAAACATTTCATTAAAATTTTACTTTTGGACACTGAGTTTTCAAAAAATTTTGGCTTCAATTTGTTGCTAGAAAGATGACTTACCAATTGCAGAAAACAGACACATGACTATGAGTATAAGGACACACCAAAGGACATCCATATTCATTTGTCTTTCGAGCTTACTTCGCTTGTAACGTGGTCCACTGTTGTTTAGCAAAGCTTTAGTCTCGTGTCCTATAATTAAATAGTGAGATTTTGGTAAGGACTGTTAACAACTTGGCACTTTTTGTAACTGTCAAAATTAATATTGATAAATTAATATTATTATATTAAATATTATTAATATTAACTAAAAATCAAGTATATTCAATTAAATAACATTGAATTAAGTAATTAAATATTAAACAAATTAATAAAATTAATAATAAATTAATATTGATGAATTAATTTTAATATAGCACAAAAAGAGCCAACTCCTACCTGCATAGATGACTATTCCTGTTACCTCTTCTGTATTTCTAATGGTACATCCACGCAGCAATAAATTTTCTTTATAAAGTGCAGCTTTTTTCCCATTTTCATGTATACTGTCAAAGAACAGTTTGGAGCATGTCAGCTCAAGTAAAAACCACATCCTTCATCTCAGACAATAATGTGCTGAGAAAATCCACTAGCCCAGTGAGGGTATAATAAAGTCAAAGTTGAGAGAGGTGGTATTTTAAAAGCATGGTATACTGCTTAAACAAAGCTAGAAAGAGCAGGTCCGGTGCTATAACATTTTAAATACTTTCCCTATGGTTGAAATGTTCTCTCCTCCTTCCTGCTTAACTCCTTTAAAAGTGCTGAACACTTTTAAAGCCCAACTCAAATATCACCTTCTCCAAGAATCCTTCCCTGATACCTATTCTCTTTCTCATGGGGGACAGGGAGTAGGGGTGTTAGAAATTATCTTTTTTCCCTTGAACCCAACATTGAATTCTGTTTAGCAACTATAGGTATGCATTATTTAATACAATGCACTAGAGTTATCTTGTGTGTCATTCCTCTACCAGGCTGTTGATTCCATAAGGCATGACCATGTCTTATTTAAAGTTTGTGTATTTCCTAGAGCCTAACCTGTTATGAGCATCGTGGGTGCTTGATAAGCAGTAGCTGAATTGAATTGTTAGATGTTAACATTCTTCTTTTCTATAAGGCAGAAGATATAACAGCCATCATTGATATCAGCTTGTTGAACTGTGTTGATTGATTGATACCAATCCGGTAAATAAAAATGTCCGACTCAATCAAAAAGTGTTCTCACCTAGTCAAGGTGACAGAGTCAAATGGGGTGGCTTCAATTATATCTTTCTACTAACACCAAAAGTCTGTTAACATTTTGCCCTTTTGACACAAAATAAAATGAGCCCTTTACTTTCTGGGGTATTCCAGTCATCCAGAACAAGCAGTTTTTTGCAAAGTTCAATTCTATGGTTGTAATGGAACCAGTCTGAGACATGGGCATACCCAAAGGAAGTCAGCGCCATCAGGTTTCTTCAGGGTTGTCACCATAAATGAGAAAGATGTATATGAGATCATGGCCCCTTCAGTGCAAGGTCTCAAGATAACTTTCAAGAAAGGGTTCTGTAGCTACACTAAAACATAGGTGCTTCAGGAAGCAGTGGAAATAGGGCTAGACTAGCTCTCCTAGAATCAACAGGCCTGAGTTTGAGTTCAGGTTCAGATACTTGTTAATTATGTGATCATGCATAAACCACAAAATTTCTCTGGACTGTAGTTTCCTCATTTGTGAACTATAATAACACCTGCCCTACCTACCCCAAAAAGTTGTGGGGCAAGTAGACTATAAACCTTAAAGCATCCTATAAATGGGAATTGTTATTACTATATGCAGAAGAAGTAACACGGACCTAGTCCCAGAAATAAAATTGAGAATAGGGAAATGGTCAACAAGACACAGAAAGCTAGAGTTCAAATGTGACTCTGAGACGGCCTAACCATTTAACTCTCACATTGTACAGATAGGGCCAACTGAGGCCCAGAGAAGGCAAATGACTAGCCCAAAATAATTGATGAGACATGCTACTGTCTTCCACATCTTAAGCAGGGCTTTAGCTTAATTTTTCTTACCTTTTCCCTATTTTAAACTTGAAGATTGGTAAATTCTATTGATTTCTTTACCATGTCTATTTTATTTTTATTTAGAGTCAAAATATAGTTCCCAGTAAAGGTAAGTGATTTTGAAAGTAGCAACCCCTGCCTTCACATCTGACCTTCATTTTTCTTTCATCTCCGTATTATACTTAACTCCTACCACCAACCCACAATGTCATACATTGGCACACATAGTCATCCACCCACACCTCAATTACCCACCTCTTCCCTAATATTCATTGTCTTGGTACCAATTGTCTTTGTATCTTTGAAAAACACTGCCTACGTCCTTTCTGAGGAGCTTACCATAGGTTCTTGATCTTCTCTCTAAGACTCACACTTTACTGCACTGCCCACTGACTCATCTAGCAGAGATAATTTTCTAGGCTTGCTTGCTTGAGAAACAAGGGAAAGGAGGTCACAACTGCAAAAGGGGGGTGGGAGAGGGAAGCCAGACCACTGCCTAAGGAACAGAAACCCTCTACTAATTTTATTTTTTCTGTGCCTGCAATAAATTAGTATCCCTAAGTCATCCATCACCTGGACACAGAGCAGAGGAAAGGACGACTCAGTCACTCTTAACTACAACTTGTGTTTGCAACTACAAGGTACTAAAAGCACTTTTTGTTGGTGCTGAGGAGTTAAAAAATTAAGTTAAGACTGAAATAATAATTCACCTTCTAGAACATATGAAATACTAATTCACCTTCTAGAACACACAATTCCAAATTGTGTCATAGTCTATTCTGAGCACATTCAATGGTTCTTTAAAAATTCACGTGGATTTTCAAATTGACAAAATTTCTATTATCAACCTTCCACCCACAACCAGACAATTCTAGGCAACTGTGAGCAATATTTTCATCACTAAACATGAGATTCAAAAGAGAAAATTGTATTGCCAATAAAATAAGCATAATGAACCCAAACTACATAAAGAGTAGAATATGGAAATCCCAGAGGAAATGATCATAAATATCATTATTAAGTCTGGAGTCAGACAGTGTCTATTGATATCTCGTGTATGGACTAATATATCACTTGTTATTCAGACATGGAAAAATACTGCTTCCTGAAAAAGTGTCAAGAGAAGCAATCAGGATGAAACATTAACCTCATGCAATCAGAAAACTTTTTTCTTTTAAGAATAAGAAAGAGGAAAAAGTATAACAAGCAAAATAAATTTACAACTCATGGAAAGGGAGAAAAAAAATCAATGTGAAGTACCTTCTAAGTCACATTTCTTCAACTACTTACAAATAAGGTACAAATACCTAACCAAAAAAAAAAAGTGTCATCCAAATAAACTACGAAGCAGAGTACAACATATTATGATAAGGATTATGGATTTTGCTGAGATGCATTCAAATAATAGGGCAAATAAAGAAAAACACACACACATATAACTGATAGATCAAGGTAATGCCTAAGACATAATGAACCTATTACCATATTTCACCATGTAACTGTCACACACCCCCTTTTTTTTTAATCCAAAACTTGGCTTAAAACTTTTCATCGTGTAATTGTTGCATGGTATTAATTCCGTTCACCATGCAACTTAAAAGGTAAACAGAGCAGCAACGTATTAACCAGTGGCATATGGATATGCCTTATATGGATACTTGCGTATTGTGAGCCACGAGTCTAGAATTCTCAGTGTAGGCGCACTGTCAATATATTTCTGAAAGCATACTTGTGTGGTTTGTTTAGAGCGCTGCAGTACTAAAGGTATTGTCACTCAACCCAATGAAGAGCCTTACACGCAAGTAGAGTGGGCAAGCAGGCAAAGCTGCCATGAGTAAGTCACGTGAAATGGTAGGACTTACATCTTTCTGCACTAGCTAAACTGTACAGTTCATCTGCCAGTGATACAGTTTAGTAATAAATGATTTTAAGTAATTTTTATTACTTTTTATTATACAGTTTTTATTTTAAAAAAAGTTTCACTTAATGGTCACATCCCACCTTTTTGTCAAAACTTGGCATAACATGTGACAATTATGCAGTGAATTTTTTTTTTCTTTTTTTAAAGCAAGGCATTCATTCATTGTATCCTTGTGGACAAGATGGAGAAATGTGGCTCACTAATGGTATGGCTGGGTGGATTCATCACTGGCTGACCACCAAAGGGCTAAAGGAATTGCCATTGTAGACACAGACAGGTCAATGTCAATTTGCAGGGATGTCTCTAGTAGAATGTTTCAGAGATCTATCTTTGACCCTGGATTGTTCATATGGCTATAAATGGCTCATGTAAAGGCCTAGATGGCAGGCACATCACAGACGCACTTTGAACTGGGGGGGTGGGGAGGAGGAGGAAGAGGTAAGGAGGAAGGGCAAAGGGGCTAGAAGTCGGGGAGGGGCTGGAGACCAGAAGGAAATACAAATGAGGTGTTTTTTCATAAGGCTCTCTGCTGTCTTTCTGGTCCTTGGGCAAAAGGAAAGTGCCAGTCATGGCAATGCCCCCTACATGCTTAGAGGGAAAATCCAGGGCCACCAGGAAGGGTGGCCCAAGAAAGCATACTACTTGCTTCCTTCTGGATATAAATGGGAGAGCAGGAGTATTAAGGTTAGCCGAATGCTACATTAGAAGCAATTACAGTTATCTTTAATTCAAAATGAAAGGCACCAAGGACCTTATTCCATTAATTTTAAGACTTCAAGACTCAATTCAAATTAAGCTAGTGTGTTTTAAATTCAGGAATACTCAAAAATAAAACTCAGTGACAGAGTTGTCTAGTAGCAAGATCTATCAGTAGCTTTAAAGGCTTATATGCTCTGCTCACTGGAAAATTGGCCCGGTTCAACTAATAAAAGTCATAGCCCATCTGTTCTTTCTCAGAAATTGTTATGTCTTTTTTTCATATTTGCTGCTGATAACCTATCTTGTGCATGTTATAGTTCATTTGTTTCAGGTCCAAAATGTGAGGATTTGCAGCAGTAAACATGCATCATTGCTGACGAATGACTGCAAAGTAGAGTTCAACTCTGTTTAAAGATATAGGCTATACTGCTGTCAAATGTTCCTGTTGCACTTACTTCCTACAGAGAGCCTTTGGTTTGGTGACCAAAGATCCAGCAACCAAAGCTCTGGTTTAAGGATTACATGTTGGTAGAACAAAGCATATTAAACATGTAAATGAAATTCTCATGGAAGCCATTTGAGAAGTATTAAGCCTTTTTTGCCCTCTACTATAATAACAACCTCCATACACTTCACAGTGGTGTAGAGATAACTGTGGATTTTCAAAAACTTTGAAACCCTGGAATGTTCTAACATGCTGGAAAGGTTTTCATTATGGTCCCAACAACAAAATACATCTACTTTCCAAGGAGCAGCCCAAAGTGCAAAAAGATCCATCTTAACAACTAGGTAATTGATTATTTGGCCATGACAACCCATGAAATTAAGAAACATACAAAATGGTCA